TGTTGTTTTCATATCATGTTTTTGTTGTTTTTATATCATGCCTCTGTTGCTGTTATATCCTTTTGTTACTGTTTACTTATTAATAAATTTATATATTATTTTCATATACATTTTACTAATTTCCTTTCATCTCTCACACTTCTATTATAGAGAAAGGGCAAATAGCAATATTAAAATATTTCTGCTAAGTAATCCCCTTTTAATGTGCACAAATTTCGTGCACCGGGCTACTAGTTAATTAATATGGAATTAACTATTTGGCCCTACCTTAGGTCTGTGGCAGGTCAGTTTTAATAGTCTCCGCATCTTCTTTTAATTTTCTTGAGAAAAAGAAACAAAAACAATATACTTGGGCTGAGAGATGTAGGACGGAGTCACAAACCAGGAGCCAGAAATGAAGTACCAAGATCAAGGTCACCTACTTTCTAGACCTATGACCTTGGTCAGGTCACTTAAACGCCCTGAGTAGCCTGCACACCTGTCGACAGGTAGTAACATTTGTGGGTTCACGTGGGGAGATTGTTTTGAGGTCACAGGACTTTATAAAAGTGCTTTGTGAAAGGAAGCTGCTACTGTCACCAGGTGGGACATTGGAATTTGGCATCTGGACCAGTGAAAAGTATAGGCAGTCCCCCAGAGCAGAAATGAAGTGGGTTCGGTCAGCAGAAATACCAAGGTTTCTCTAATGTTTCCCAGACTTCAGTCCACCTGAATGATTTTTGCCATCTGTGCTTACATGTTTTTTAAAAATTGATCCACTTTTTCCAAATGAATCTATCTAACAAAGGAATCTTGTAGCACTGTGGTAGGTTGAAAAGCAGTGCCCTTTGCTGCCAATACCCGGTAAACAAAAGTGAACGGGATGAAAGCAAAGCCGGTGTTGTTACATTTCAGATCCCGCTGCCTCTGGGAGGCTGTGACCCAGAAGCTCTCCTTTGTTGTGAGGGCCGGGGAGGAGTGGGAAAGTTGCTACAGTTGTTCTGACCCAGATCTGAGGTCTCTCCCTAGTGCGTGTGGAGGAGTCAGAGCAGCCTGCATGCACAGAATTGATTTGGTGTGACTCACCGCGGCGTCCTGTGCCACATAAGATTGCCTCCCATCACCCCTGTCCCATAACTTCATATGGGACAGTGCTCAAGTCCCATACTTTGGGAGGCACATCAGATGATTGAAGAGATGCCGACTGTCCCACTGTCTGGAGGATCGTGGCCACCGTGCTCCTGGGAGGACCAGGTGGTTAGCCCTGACGTCTGGGCTTTGCCAGGATAAGGAAAACCCAAGTTCCAGCACAGAGCTCTGGTCAGAAGGCTAGTGTCCAGCATCAGAGCCTCTCATTGCCACCGCCTCCTCCCTCTTCTGTCCTGTCCTCTGAGCTAGGGTGTCTCCTGGGTGACAGCCACGGTCAGTCTAGGCCGTGTGCTGTGCTGAATGGTAGATTCTGGGACCTTAGAGAAAAGTCATTGGGGACTCAAATCCATGATGTAACAACTTTTTCATAGTTTCAGTTCATCCTCTCTTGTATATCCATTTGGTAAGGAAATCTCCACCATCCCTCTCCAAATTTCTGTGTTTATAAACTTCAGTTCAGACCTGCAATTATTTTTGTTTCAGACCCCAAACGTCCTTTTAGATGATGCTCATAGAAGCCCCAGTCCTTGGTCCTGTTGGTGGTTCTTCACAGCCCGCTTGTGTGGTTGTGAGTTTGGGGGTTGCAGTTTGCTCTGGAGGGAGGTTTTTGGCAGTACGGCCGGCCCCTCAAAAGCCAAGTTACCTTCCCTTCAGGTCTCTGCTTTAGTGCCCACGGTGGGAGATGCAACCCTAGGCCTCGGTTGTTAGTTTAGGTTCCAGGCTTCAGAATGAGAGGGGCTCTCTTAGCGAAGTGACCTCTCTCTTCCCATTTTCATCTCGAGCCTGAGTTCATGCGTCCTGTAGGACCTTGCTGAAAGCCACACAGAGAGGCCAGCTCGCCCACCTTCCTGCCCTTCCACCTCCCCCAGCCCCGAGGCAACATGGGACTGCATCCTGAAATGCAGCATTGAGCATAAGACCAGCGCTGTTGAATAGCGGGCTCCCCGCAGCTCCTCTGGGATAATTGGGTTCTCACTGCCCCACCTCGATGCAGCAGTGAGCATAAGACCAGCGCCCAGCGCCATGCTGTTGAATAGCGGGCTCCCCGCCGCTCCTCTGGGATAATTGGGTTCTCACTGCCCCACCTCCACCCTCACTACTTCCTGGTTTAGCCAGTTGGCACGTGGTCGATTCTATTTCTTGCGACATCCTCCTCTGGTTGCCAAGTCTTTCTT